GATTTGTCAGATTGATAATTTCAATGCTCTTGATATTATGCATTTAATTGATGCTAGTTAGTATCACAATAAGTTAGACTCCAGTAATTTGGTTAAGGCCGTTATTTATAATCATTTGTAAATCTGGTTTGAAGTCAATCTATTAATCTTGTCAAGAAATTTATCAACTGTTAGCTTATTATGAAAAGAAATAGCTTCAAAGTCTTTGAAAGTATTCAAGGGTGTGCTTTGAATGACCTATTCACAGCAATTGCATTCATTTGAGGTGGTTGCAGTTATTTGTAATAGTTGTTGAACTATGTTGGGATTTTTTTAAGAGTAATTTGTGGGTATTTTATATATATTTTTTCTTTTGAAAAGGTCGGATAATATTCTTATAGTTATCACACTAGCAAATTTGGTTATAAAAAATTATTTCTCACCACAAATTTTTCTGGGGAAAAAAAATGCAATTAAATAAAAAATCAAAGCTATGATAAAGCTGATTGAAATGGACTCTCACTATATAGCTTATTGCCACACTTCGCTTGGTTATAGCTTTTTAGATGCTTTTAAAAATTTTTATGATGAGGAGCTTTTCAAAATCATATCTACTAGATTTGGTGGCTATAAAAAAGTTAATGTCTGAATTATTATAGAGGGAGAAATTCATAAAACCCACAATACAACAACATCAAATCTTTATCCCACTACGTAGGGTTGGCTACATGAATCTTTTTTCTCCATTGTGTCCGATTAAGAGTCAAGTTCTCATTTAGATCTAATAAAAAAAATATCATTTCTAATATTTTCTAGCCAAATCTTTTTAGGTTTACATCTATCTTTCTTAACATATGTTAAATCTAATACATCTACTCTCCTAACTGGGTCATCGGAAGGCCGCCATTTTATGTGACCAAACCATCTAAGGCGACTCTCTATAAAGCCCACAATAACTTTCAAAAATTTTATTTTTCCATAATAAATTTATAACTAATTTTACAACTGCTGCAGTTGTCTTGAACAGGCTGCAGTGAACTATAATGTTCAAAAGTTTGGTAGACCGAATTATATATATTATAAATCAATATAATGCTTAATGCAGCAAAGAAAACCAAACTTTGTCAACACATATTTGCTTACATAGGAGTCAGCGACTTATAATACTGTTAAAAAACTAAATAAAAGATAATTCACATAATTTCTGCATGCAATGTTAACTGTTACCCTCTTAAAACTTCGTAATTGCAATCCTTTACAGGCAAAAGATTTTGAAGACCCAGAAGTTCATCATCGGCATGTTTCACACTTGTTTGGTCTCTTCCCAGGCCATACAATCACAGTTGAAAAAACACCGGATTTATGTAAAGCTGCTGCCAACACCTTATACAAAAGAGGTTGGTGAATGAAACTAGGGGGGTCAATATTTGACATGACCTGAAAACTTGACTCGAACCCGACCCAAAAATTTTGGGTTAGGGTCAACCTGAACCCGAAACAGGTTGGGTTTGGGTTCAATAATTCGACCCATTTAAAAAATCAGGTCAGGTTCGGGTTGACCCTTTGACCCGAAATTGACCTGAAAACCCATTTTTGACCCGAAAAGTAGAGGTTGACCCATTTTGGACCGAAAACTAGAAGTTTTTTTTGGTACCGGGTCATTCGGGTTGTGTTGGGTTGACTCGGACCCGAAGCTGGTTGGGTTCGGGTCCGGAAAACCGACCCGTTTGCAAAAAATGGGTTGGGTTCGGGTTGACTTGAATAATACCAGGTCAGTTTCGGGTTTGACCCGAACACGACCCGTGACCAGAAATTGACACCCCTAAATGAAACCTTGGCTGTATTTTACACATTTTATCAAAACCGTTGTAAAAGTTCAAAATTTGCATTAAACTTCACAACTTGAGCAGGGGATATTGGACCAGGATGGTCAACAACATGGAAGATGGCTTTGTGGTCTCATCTTCGCGACAGTTCGCACACTTACTTGTTAATTAAGCAGCTAATAAACTTAGTCGACCCTGATCATGAGGCTGATTATGAAGGTGGCCTATACAGTAACTTATTCACTGCTCATCCTCCATTTCAGATAGATGCTAACTTTGGGTAACTATATTAAGCTATTTAGCTGCAACTGATTGAACTGAGTTCTACTTTCTTCAGAAAAATGATGATATGTTAAATGTTTTGATCTGCAGCTTCTCAGCTGCAATCGCAGAAATGCTTGTGCAGAGTACAATGGAGGATCTTTACTTACTACCTGCTCTCCCTCGCGATAAATGGCCCAGGGGATTTGTAAGAGGGTTAAAAGCTCGGGGCGGAGTTACAGTAAATATTTCCTGGAAGGAAGGGCAGCTTCATGGAGCCAGATTGTGGTCAAAGACTCAAAGTTCACTTAAGAGATTGCATTACAATGGAAAAGTTGCTGCCATCAGCCTTTCCTGTGGAAAAATCTACATATTCAATCAGCACCTGAAATGCCTGAAGATAACTTCTATGATTGAAGGAGTATCACTATAATTTTGCCATTGTTCTTCTTCAGGCCAGGATTTTTACCCTTTTTATTCAATTGCCAGGTTTATTGTTTTAAGTTTGGCAAATTTGGATTCTTCCATTTCCATCACCAGCATAGATAAGTTTGCATTTACAAAATAAAATTTAAGATTGAATCCAACCATTTTCTTTGTAAACTGTTTGTTTAATTTCATTTTTTTCCTTTGGAATCGAAAGATTTTCTTGTGAGGTCAGCTTCTGGATTAAAAATGGGTGTTTTTTATTAGCAAAATAGAATTTTCTGTAAAAAATGGCCATAACTCCTACTTTCGTTCTTTGGAAAATGAGTTTTTTTTCTGGATTCTATGAATGTCTTCACAGAAAATTCAATACGCCTATTTTGGTTTCCTTTAAGGGAAGTCGAACCCTATTGAGTCAATCAATTTCTCATAATATAGTTTGCAAATGCTTATTCTCTTAGCAATCAAACATATTGGTTAAGTTGCTCAAGTTGGTCAACAATCACATTGGTATGGAGGAGTGCAACCACATGATCATAGCTTCAACCTCCAAGTCACATCATTTTAGATTATGCGAGGGCTTGTGATAAACACCCTCGAGATCAATTGAGCAAGTCGACAACGAGCTTGATAAGTTGTATGCGAAGCTGCGACATCGTCACTTCCAGCACCACCACCAACATCATAAAGGTTCTACCCCGGAACCCCGAACAGTCTGCCAACATGAGACGGAGATTATACGTTCCATTGAGTGAGGTATTTGATCTATATTCCCCTCTTGATTGTTGCTAACTGAGATTATATATACATATGTGAAGGGTTATTTTCGTCAACCTCTATCGATGCGAACAACACCAACTATATGTGATTCTCTGAAGTATTGCGTCTTTCATAAAGATCATGATTATACATACTATGAGAGATTACTAACCAGTTTGACAATCTACAAACTACATGTAGTTTCTCTTCAACCTCAAAAACTCTCAAAATTATGCCTAGGAGATGCTGGATGGAAGTGAAGAATGCTTCACATGGAAAGGAGGAAAAGGAAAGCTGGCATCAACGATTTTGAGAAGATGGTTAGATTTTTTTCTACTTCATTTAATTTCTTTGTTTAAATATATAATACATATTGTACAAGTGCAGGTTGATTTCTTGGAAGACAACCAGATGCATGTCTAAGCATTAAGATTGTGTCATAAATGGCAAGCTTGAGGTTTCGTTTGGGACGACTTTCTCACTGCTTCTTAAAGCAGTTTTTTAGTAGAAAAATTAAATTTTTTATACTAAAAGTTGCATTAAGAATCATTAAGAAAGCTGTCTCAAATGAAGTCTAAATATAATACTATAAGCTATGTTAAATTTAATTCTTTCTTATTGGGAGATCTCTTTGGAGAGGTGTAGATGGTTGATGCACTTGGAAGGGCAAGTCTAGGTCTCTCCAGAGATTTATCTACTCAAACAATATTTTGCATATATATATATATATATATATATATTTATTTCATATAATTCACTATTTACAAAGAGAATTTTGAATTTAAATGCCTCGGTAAGTTTGAAATTGGAGAAATATGATAGCTATTTTATTTCTTAAGAAAATTTGCTTGAAGGTTCCTTTTATGCATGGATTGCTTATTGAAGTCTATCACAGTAAGTTTAGCTTGAATTATTTTAAAATTTCAACTTTGTTTGAGCCAGTTTTGAATGATATTTGAATCGGTTTGAGTAAGATTTGATCTTGGTTTGATTGAACAACGTTCGAATCTTATGCAAACCTAAATTGAAATCGGTTTGAATAAGGTTCTAACTTAGGTCAAAGATTCACACAGTTTTCTGTAATGTTGCCCATAGTGAGCCTTTTCATGTCATTTGTCTCGTCCTTGTCTTTCTTAATGAGCTCTCATTTTGAAATCTTCTTCCTTGAGGCACAACCAGTATTGTCGACGAGCCCTACCATTGCAAAATCATTTTTTTTTTCTATAAGCCCTCCCATTTTTTACAATGTTCAAATCTTATTCAAACCTAATTTGAACTCGGTTTGAACTAGGTTATAACTTAGTTCAAACATTCACGCACTACCCCATAATGTCGGCTATCTTGTCGATGTCCTTCCTAATGAACTCCCATTTTGAAATCTTCTTTCTTTAGGTACAACAAATAGCTTCGATGAACCCTATCATTACAAAATCATTTTGAAATTCTATGTGGCAACCAACAAACTTTATTGATGTAGGTTTGAATTTGATTAGAATTTGTCCAAATCAATTTTCAATTAAATTTGAATAAATTCAAATCATTTTTTTCTCTGGACTAGTTTCAATAAACAATTCATGAATACAATAGAGAGGTAATTTAGTTCTAAATGAAATTTTAGATATATTTCTTGAAAGAAAGAAAGAAATAATTGCATAATTTTTTTGAATTTTAAGTATTATGGAAAATATGGAGTTAAATTTTCCTTTACAAATTCTTGAATGGAAAATTTTTCTTAATATTTTTTCATGAGAAAATTTAAAAAAACTAAAAACATTTCCTCTCAACTCAACATCTGATCAAAATTTCATCATTTCTATTCAAAAAAATGATGGACATATACTATACAATACTCTAGGTGAAGAGATTAAATTAGAATATGCTCACAAGTTTATTGTCTGATGAGTTTTTTGTTCAATCTAATAAGTCTAAAATATGATGAATTTCTTTTATCTATGCACCAATAAAGTCATGTGAGAGATATTTCATTTTCAATGCCAAATAATATGACTAAAGATGTAAGTCTAAGGTCACACTTTGGGGTGCAAACGAGTCGAGTCGAACTCAAGTCAACATGACGTGAGCTTGAGCTTGATTAACTTATCGAGCTTGAGCTTTATTCTATGAGTTCAAACCATTGATTTGGAAAGATTTTTAAATCTAAATTAGCCTTGATTTGGAAGGCTTTAATTGCATATTATTGTAATTAAGTTGATTTAATTGGGGATTTGGTTGAGGCATAATAATTATTACATTAATTAGGGATTTGATTAAGATTAGATTAGGAAGTTTTTTTTCTAATTTACTTTGGCTAAATCTATAAATAGAATCCTTGGGGCTTCTGTTGAGTGTATGAAAGAAAGCTTGAGAGCTATTGTAATTTTCTATTAATCTCAAATATAATGAAATTAGCAGCTCCTCCACGTGGACATAGACATAATTGTCGAACGACGTAAATCATTGTGTTTATTATGTTAGTGTTGTGTGAATTTTTTTTCCTCTATGATGGTTTGTACAAAACAAGCAAACTTGTTTGTTATGAAAGAGAAAAATGATTATGAGTAAAACAATAATTATAAGAAAATGATAAAAAATGAAAAATTAGAAGAAAAATAATAAAAATAACTTAATATAGATTTAATTTTTAAATATTTTCAATAATATTTATACTTAAAATCATGAATACTAATATATTTTAAGTGTATTTAATATTAATATTTTTTAAAATGAACTAACTCACGAGTTAACGAGTAGATTCAGGACTGGTTCAAATTTAATTCATTAGCTCGTCGAGCTTAAGTCAAAAAATCATTTATTAAGTAGACGGCCAATGGACAAAAAAAAAAAGGCTTAACTCACTTACAATTGAAATAGGATTAGGCACATAACTAATTTTGTTCTATTGTCAATTAAGAGGTCTTCAATTCTAAACTTATATATGTCTTTTATTTATGAATTCATTTTAGGGAAATTAGCATACATATCATCCTATATTATTTTATTTACATATTTAACGCCTAAAATTTTAATATTACATACAGAACATTCTATATTATTTTAATATCAAATATACCATTCATATTTACTTCCTATCACTCATATTTGATATTAAAATGAACTATGAGTGATATGTATGTAATATTAAAATTTTAAATGTTAAATACGTAAATAAAATATATATAATGATATTTATGCAAATCTCCGACTAAAATGTCCCGAAAAAATAGGGTTAGGCAGGTTCAAAATGCCCCCGACAACAGGCCACGTGAAGTCACGTGACAATCGCCAAGGATCCAACACTTTTTTAAAGCCCCCCAGCGATCTTACCGAATGCTTCAGGATCGCCGGCGATCGTTCAAATCTCTTCTGTTCTTCCCCCCCTCCCTCCCTATCAACCTCTCCTCCCTCATAAACTAGCCGTCCTCATGGCCGAAGACGGCGAAGAGCTCAAGCAGGAGGGTGAGGTCGAAAACCCCAAATCAGATGATAAACCCGCAACCGCTACTTCGCTGGCGACATCATTTTCGTCCTTCTCCGTGAATATCTGGCCACCGTCTCAACGCACGCGCGACGCCGTCATCAACCGCCTCATCGAGAATCTTTCCACTCCGTCCATTCTTTCCAAGCGCTACGGAACCCTACCATCCGAGGAGGCCTCCGCTGTCGCGCGTCGCATCGAGCAGGAGGCCTTCGATCTTGCCTCCACGTACGTATCGCCACCTTCTGCTCCCAAAGCTGACGAGTTCATCTCCGCTGAGGCGTCCGTGGACGAAGGGATAGAGATCCTCCAGATCTATTCCAAGGAAATCAGCCGAAGGATGATCGAATCCGTGAAGGCTAAGGTTTCCCCTGTTTCTCTGACTCCCGTTGAGGCCAATGCTGCTCCCGCAGCAGAAGATAGTGGAAATGTATCCGACTCTGTTCCGAAGCACACCGAACCGACTGGTGAGGACATCGCTTCCGGCGAGTCTGAGCCGGCGGTTGTTTGAGATTGAGCTGGATCGACTTATCATGGTATCGTTTTATTCATTTATCGGATCTGATGGATTTCTATTTGTATGGGCATCTATCTGTGTGGCTTGATGTTTGATGCAGTATCTTATATATTAGATTATGTTATGTTTGCACCTCTCTCTCGAACCGCATTATTAAAATGGCGAAGATGGTGCTTTCCTAGAAGCCAATCAGAAACGCTATATTTGTGTGTTATGTTGTGTTTATGGTTTCCTCTGTAATATAGATTGCATGATGGTTTTACCATTTGTGCAATGTTGTTATGTTCATGTTCTTAGCGCTCAAATGCCTGTCCTTTTGGATCATTTACCTAATTCACCTGTATTTTGAAATAGTTATCTTCATGTATTCCTTTTGTTTCCATAGTTTTCAAAGAACAAGTATCCAATTCTACCCATAATTATATCATTGTTGAATAACATTATCATTAGACTCACCTTGACTATTTAGGGTCGACATTATGATTTTTCATCGTCTATTTCATTCTCGCTGATTTTTGTTTCAGGTTTATTCTTTATATTCACAAATTATTTTTATTAATTTTAGATACACGTAATCTTAGATCTGCATTCTTGTTGAGTGTTGTCTAGGGTTTTAAACTTATTATTGACAAATCATTGTAAATAATTTCTATCCATGTAATATTTGATCATCCTCTTTTTCTCTCTAATCTTCGGATATTAATTTTTCAACACTTCTAATATATCTAATTGCTATTGTTTGTTGTATATGGAGATTGTAAACTTGAATGCAAAGCTAAAATTTATTTTTGACAGTCTACTCTCTGAAGTAAATCAGTATTAATACGATACGGAGATTGTAATTTACATCATCTCTCTCCATATAGTCCTTAAAGTTATTTTAAGCATCAGTTACCTTGGGAGCATGTATACTTCTAGATATCTTTTGTATTTATGTTGGGCACATATATGTCTCCAACACACTCATCCACTTTTCCAATATTCTCAAAATTATTTTGGGAGCATGTTAGGATAAAATTAAATTTTTATACAACACGGCTTAACTTACCGCTGCAAGGGCGTTTGTGTGAGAGACAACCCACCTATGAGATATCAATACACATATAAAATATGTAATAACTTACAATGATTAATAAACACTAATGTTGGAGTTTTATTAACATAAATTAATTATCATATTTTAAAAAACTAAGTTAAGTGTGGCAGAGAAGAGGATGCTCGGGTGGATGAGTGGCTTTTCCCTTAGAGATAGGATACGAAATGAGCATATACGTGAAAAGGTTGGAGTAGCTCCATTAGAAGATAAGATTAGAGAGAGTCGCCTTAGATAGTTTGGTCATATAAAATGGCGGCCTTCTGATGACCCGGTTAGATGAGTAGAGATATAACATTTGACTTGTGTTAAGAAAGGTAGAGACAAACTGATGGGGGCATCAGTTGGAAAGTCTACAGTCGACGTGGCCGTAGATCTACGGCCACGATCTGCCCGATGTATTTCTGATTTTAGTATGGTCATTTTATTTTGATGTATTTTATTTCTGCATTTTTTCCCTTTTACCCTTGCTTGAGGGATTAAGTCTTGTAGCCCCTCGAGGGTATTTTAGTCTTTTATTTTATGTCATTGTATTAGGCTATTTATAGCCTTCATCTTGTACTTTTGAGGGTTAATGAATGATTATTGAGATTTCTTCCTGCACTTGTGTTTTTGAGAGCCTTTGAGAGTTCTTGGAGAGCTTTGGAGAAATCCCTTGGAGAGGGAGATTGGCGTATCACCCACCAACCTTGGAGACGGCCTGGTTCGTGGTCTTATCTTCTTTATCTTATCATCTTCTCATCGTCAAGCTTCCAAAACTCCCCACCCATCCTCTTCCCTTTCACGGTCGTAACTGTATGCTACCTCTAATCCCTTTTCCCAGCACCGAGAGAGAAATTTCTTCTCAGATTTCTAAGAGGAAAGCTGAAATCTTTCAGATTTCCTGAAGGGAAAATCTGAGAACTTTCTCAGATTTTGGAAGGATTTGGATTACTTCTTCAGCACACTATGAAGAGAAACTAACGGAAGGTTTGTAGTGATTCACGTCATTTCTCCGAGAAGGTGATCTTCTTCCTTGATTCATTTACTTGTCAAATTCTACTTACTTTTTTTTTTTGAGATTTGTCCAAACAAGAAACTGTGCCTACTAATCGCCATCCATTAGTAATCGTAGGTTTGGTACTTCTTTGCTATTAGATTTCATTGTTAAGTCTTGGTTAAGTTGGAAACTATTCGCATGCAATGTCTTAGTTTTCCTATGTGTTTTGATTTAGCCCAGTCTCTTGTGTGGCTTAGCCTAACTGAGTTGAACCTTTAAGAGTTTTACCTTGTTGTTTTAATCACGAATAACTAAAATCTGAAATTGCTCTTAACATATTTCGTGCAAGTTTCCGATTCATGCATGTTGTCCTACATCACAAACCTAAAAATTCTTGGTTAGAAAATATTAGGAATGACCTTTCTTTCTTAGATTTCTTAACACAATGGAGGAAAAGGATTCATGTAGTGGACCCCACGTAGTGAGATAAAGGCTTGATATTGTTGTTGTTGTATATTTGAAAAAAACACTTCTTTTATTACTATAGTATTTAGTTTTTTTTTTTATTATTATCATGCTTCTTACGATATTTATATTTCACTGGGAGATTCCTTTAGTAGGAAATAATATAAATACTATATTTTATATTAACAATTTATAAAATAAAACGTTGTGTCCATATCGTGTTATGTTTCACTCTTTACATCTGTGTAATGTCATTGTATCTATGTCATATCTTATACATGTCACTATATCTTTGTTCATGCATAGTGTGTTAATTTTATTGTTTTTATGAAGTCATATGAGAATTTAAATTCTTAGAAAGGCATAACATTAATCCCTGCCACACTCTGCACTGCTTCTAGACCATGAAGAACGTACTTGTAAAGCAGTCTATCTCTATGGGAGTAGCGATAATTGTGTTATATAATATAAAACATCAGTCAAACGAAGCCCAATTCATATCAATGCTAAGCACAAATGGCATTAATATTTCTGCCTTAACTAACTTCAACTAAAGTGTTTTTTTGAAAGCCTTTTCAAGATAGATTATAATTTTTATTGCGCTTCGTCGGATCTCTATTGCTAAGAGACTTCCCTAAGATAAAATGCAATGCAAGTATATGATGAGGTTCATGATTATGGAGGGTTTTCTGGGATGATTAATGTTTGAAGCTTGCTGACAATGTTATTAGTTAATTTTGGCATCCTTAGCATGTATTTTTTTTTCTTCTTTGTTGTAATTTGTTCTTTTAGGCTGATTGGATGCTAGAAGTTGAAGTAAAAGGAATCTTTAAGAAAGGGATTAAAATGCTTACATTAATGGTTATTTCTCATAATTATTCTAACTATTTGTGGTTGATTTTATGAATCTTTTTTTTTTCTTTAGTCGTTTTTGTATAGTTTTGCTCGAGTTGTTGAACATATTATTGACAAATCATTTTAAACAACTTCTATTCTTGTTATCTTATAGGCCTGCCGCTTCTCATTTAGAATGATACGATTAATTTTTCTTCTTGTGTAATTTGTGCATTTCCTGTCCTTTGTTGTTTATGTGCAAAAGTCTTTTTTTTTTATTATTATTATCATATCTTCAATAGCTGTAACTCCAATTAGTCTTCTAACATCATCATCATCATTGGCCTTATTCATTAATATAACTTAATTATATCATATCATAAAGTTTATAAATGGCTAGTAGGTTCCAAAATTTCAAAAAGAGGAAACTTCTGAGAAGCTAATTAATTAACACAACAGAAGTAAAAGCTTTCAAATTGAAAATAAATTATAAAAGCCCCATTCACATATACACACATATAAGTGGCTTCGTTCAAGGCAGCAATGATTGTTGCATAGAACATTTAGGTGATTGAAGGCAATGAAAAAGATGATAGTTAGCGAAGTACTTGGTAGAGCCATATTTTGATGGTTCTTATCATTTCTCAACAAATTAGAGAAAAAAATTAGTTAGATGTAGGCCATAAAGGGGACATCTCAATGAACAAAAGATCAGATAAAGTAGTACATGGCTGAAAAAATCGAGGCACTGAATACATTAAAGAACAAGTCATAGTGAGTTTCATAGCAAGTGTTGTAAAGATAATACAATATTGGTTGGTATGAACACCTCTAGAAGCAAGAGCATCCATAATTTTCAATCCTCAAACAATTGTTTTCCAATTACACAATTTTTTAACCAAATGTGGTTGTTTTAGCTGACTTTGGGAGAACTAGAATAAAGAAGCGACATATATGAGAAGTGATCATTGCCATTTAAGTATTGGTGGAATTATGTGTATGAATGCTTTTATGCTAGTTCTATTAGATATGTGGGGACAAGTGCCAAGCTTTATCCTTAATAAAGTGTTTGACAATGGCATTTTTGGCATAATTGAACAAAGTAAAATCATATGCACTGTGCATATTATATAAAGATTAACCATGTATTAGGGTATCAAAATGGATCACCAGTCGAGTTAAGGTCTGATACAAAATTGACCCGGCCCTAATCCAATCAAAATGTTTTAGTAGATACAAAAGTGACCATAATCCGAATCTGACCTGTTAATAAATGAGTCACAAATATCAACCCGAATCCGACTTGCCAACAATCCGAATGACCCAAACCCATCCTGTTAACCTGATTTGGTTAAATTTTTTTATAACTTATTTACTATAAGTTATGATATATGATAAAAAATAATAAGATTATACTCACTTGTAAAAAAATTGAGAAATATGTTAAATGTGTAATTTTCGGATAAGAAATGGGTTGACGAGTCAACCTGAACCCGATCCGCTTGAACATGACCCAAACTCAGATTTTTCAGATCAGTTTCGTGCCGGATTGACGGGTCGTGTCAATTATGGGCACCCCTAGTATCCAACGATCATAGAAAAATGAGAAGAAATTCAACATTAACTTTATAGGGCAGTCAACTATAAATTTTTAAAACAATTTCATAAGTAGCTTTCAAATGGCAAAATTTTTCTAAATAGTTGGTTCCAAAAGGTGCCATAATGATTGCATAACCATTAACCAAGAACCAATATAAGGCTTAGCATTAATCGTCCTTCAAATAAGTTTTTTTTTTTATACATAGAGGGTATTTAGGAGGGGAGACTCAATCCACCATTAGGTTTAGGCAGGGTGGTCGTTTGCTAGGAGATTGTGCAGATTTTGTTTCCCACATCATTGCTGTAAAGAAAATTGTTTATGTGGTTGGAAATTTTCTTACTGAGTCCTTAGGAAGGGTGGTGGATTTGAAAAAGCAGCAT